CTATTAGTTCCACATATAAATGTCTCCTCACGGTTTTCATCATAATGTTTAATGATTTCAGGTCTTTGAGAATTTGTTAGGTAAGTAAGATTTTCATTGGATATTTGTTTAAGTATTCTCTTCATCACTGCTAATGAAACGCCAATATTGATTTTACTGCTGGTATACTACAGGCTGACTTTGCAAGCATGTCAAGAGTACAGTCCGTCCTCAAAAAATAGGGCGGAAAATGAATCAGCCCCATAAGTGCAATTATGTACTATGTATGACAGTCAGGAATTGTATTTATTTTCACTTAGTATTAGACCGTAGTCAAATATATTGTGAATATTTGAGTTTACCTGAAAAGTTGAATAGAAAACCATGACCTAACCTAACCTTCTTAGTTTATGAAGATAAGTATTTTATTGCTTCTTAATTATAATTACTACTTAACCTATAGCTATATAGATATTACAGTTTTATAAAACAAAACTAAAATATTTCAATAACTTGTAAAGTAACTCAGAATATTTTAAAATTTTGTATAAAATCTCTATTGTTTAATAAAATTGAAAAAGAAATTCCTGATATTTAAAACTTGTGTATAGCGAAATGACCATTAAAACTTCATCCTAAAATTCTGAGTGTCTTAACAGAAAACAAGGAGAAAAAATGGGGGGTGGTAAATGTAACAGCTCCATAAGTGCAATTATGTACTGTGTATGACAGTCAGGAAATGTATTTATTGCACTTAGTATTAAAACGTACTGTCAATTCAGAGGATGGAGTGCAAGAGTATCACGCTATGAGATTCCAATATGTGATGGTATCCAGAGGAGTTTAATTTCAAATATGTTTCATAAGGAGCCAACCAGTGAGGAGCAGAGGTGCCATGGCCACAATCAGAGAACAGTCTCACCATCAGAGGTCCACAGCTGTTCAACACCCTCGCTGCAACCATCAGAGATATTGCCGGAACAAAGGTGCAAGTCTTCGAGAAGTATTTAGATAAGTTCTTGCAAGACGTGCCGGACTATCCAGGCTGTAGCGGATTTATGGGCCTACAGACCGCTCCAAGCAACAGCCTGATGGACCAAGCTGTCACAAGTCGAGTCCTAGCCCCAGGCTGGGCACGTGGAGTAGAAGAACTCTAGAAACCCTATCTAGGTATACACCAGTTAATAATACACAACACTCTCTTCAAGATAACTAGCAGCAATAAAAGCGGGACCCAAGAGATAAAGCTCAATCCCACAGGCGCAAATAGGCGAGTACGCGGCGCTATAATCACCAGTTAGCTGTGACGGAGACCAGGAACTAGGTCTCGACCGTGCGAGTTCACATGTAGGCTCGGAGGGGCGTGTAGGCAGGCTCAACAAACAACTCTGCAACTCACACAACGACAACACACGCACCAATTAAGCAGTGTAGTGAGTGATCGGCTCTATCTCATCCCGTCCACGCTCACGCCGTAATCGTGTATGCGCTTTGAACTCGTCCTGGTCACTCGGCAGGATAAAGCCAGCTAATTTAGCCCCGAGAGAGCACTAATTGGCTGTTGCTTTGGATTTGACGTGATGTTCACAATTTGGAAAGAGAGAGGAGTGCAGGATATATATATATATATATATATATATATATATATATATATATATATATATATATATATATATATATATATATATATATATATATATATATATATATATATATATATATATATATATATATATAGTTGACCGGACCACACACTAGAAGTTGAAGGGACGACGACGTTTCGGTCCGTCCTGGACCATTCTCAAGTCGATTGATTGTCAAGTCGTAATTCTCAAGTCGACTCAAGTCACAATCGACTTGAGAATGGTCCAGGACGGACCGAACCGAAACGTCGTCGTCCCTTCAACTTCTAGTGTGTGGTCTGGTCAACTTACTTCAGCCACGTTATTGTGACTCATCGCCTGCATATATATATATATATATATATATATATATATATATATATATATATATATATATATATATATATATATATATATATATATATATATATATATATATATATATATATATATATTTTCAAACCTAGAAGGGGTATATATATGTATATATGTGTGTGTGGGTGTGTGGGTGTAAATTTCGAAAAATAAACACGTGATGAAAAATATGACAGAGTCAGACCACGGAGGAAGAATTGAAACAGGAATTTCCTTAAGTACTTTCGTATATTAATACATCTTCAGAAGGAGAGATTTACAGGTCAAGTATTGGACATATATAGGCAGGAGAGAATGGTGGAGTGAGGTGAGGTACAAATGAATGGGAATCAGGTGGACACAAATATGAGCCGCATAAGAACTGCAGAAGGCGTATTAGCCCATACGATGCAGCTCCTATCCATACCTACACACTGGCCCACACCTGGATAATAATAGCATAAGATAGTAAATATTTACAATGAATTAGTGAGACAAATGTGTTCCAATGATTCTACTCAAATCGCCCTTTAATTGATCTATCAAAAATGGATCTAAGTTATATAAACCACTGCTAATGTTCAAATTACTTTCCTTTGTGATCTGCATCAAAGCAGATTCAATTATGTTCCTGTTATAGGTGCTTTTACAATTCGTTATTGAAGAAGTCATCTCCCAATCAATTTGGTGAGAATTCTCTGACAAATGAACAAACAAAGCATTAGACAATTGGTCATGTCTTACAGAGTATTTATGTTGCGAAATTCTACATTTCAAATCTTTAGATGTTTTCCCAACATAGAACTTATTACAGTCTTTACAAGGTATTTTATAAATGACACAATTATCACTACGAGGACTGTTCCTAACTAATAGCTTAACAACAGTATTTTCGTAGCTAAACAATACATGTATATTAAAAAGTTTCAAGGTCTTGACAATATTCTCAAACCCAGAGAAATATGGTAAACGTAACACATTCTTTGGGCGAATTTTTTCACTACATATATTATTATAATATGTACGACGTGCTTTGCTACGGCAAACTTCCAAAATACTCAGTGGGTAAAAAAGCTTGAGACCAATCGAATCAATTTTCTTAAACTATTCATCTAAGAATTCTGGACTCACAACTCGAAGAGCTCTTAGATACATTGAAGAAAAAATAGATTTTTCACATTGTATCTATGCCCTGAAAAATAATGACATATGATAAATTATTCGAAGGTTTTCTGTAGACAATAAACTTTAGTGAAAATCTTCCCTATGAATAAGTACATCCAGGAATGGCAGACATTTACCAATTTCAGTCTCTATCAATTTCTATAAAATTTACTAAGGAGATTGAAATTGATAAATGTTTGCCATTCCGAGATGTAGTTATTCACAGGGAAGATTTTTCACTAAAGTTTATTGTCTACAGAAAACCTACGAATAATTTATCTTATGTTCATTATTTTTTAGGTTGTTAAGATTACTCTGGTGATGGTCTGGTTGTGTGAGGAGATTATGTGCTTCTTGATGGAGTCCTGTTGTTTGTGCATTGGTAATCGTTTAGGAAGAGACGTTGTTGTCTTGCCGATATATTAAGATCTTTGGGGCTCACAGTCCCCAAGTGGGCATGTGAAGGCATAGACGACGTTGGTTTCTTTCAAGGCGTTCTGTTTGGTGTCTGGAGAGTTCTTCATACGTAAATTGGCCGTCGTCATGTTTTTGTAGTAAATTGTTAATTGTGTTAGACACAAATCAGAAGTGTGTGAAAATGAACTTTGGAGAGTTAATTTTTCAACTAACCTCGACTGTGAAGAAAAACATAAGAAATATTGAGAGGGTTCGTGTTAGAATCATTAATCTTACCCTTTCGGTCATATTCAACAGCATATACACATACATATACAGAGAGGGAGAGAAATGGTGGTGTGTACGAAGCTCCACCTACATAACACCATTGACTTATACAGACATTAACGCGGCCACCACCCGGAACTTCATTAATTTTTATATTAATTACCGGATGCTGGGAACCGGGAGTGAGATAAGGGAAAATTGATCTCGATATCCTAATGGGCATCTGTGTGTATTCACCTAGTTGTACTTGCGGGGGTTGAGCTCTGCTCTTTCGGCCTACCTCTCAACTGTCAATCAACTGTTTCTAACTACTACTACCTTTTTTCACATCACACACACACACACACACACACACACACACACACACACACACACACACACACACACACACACACACACACACACACACACACACACACACACACACACACACACACACACACACACACACACACACACACTGTGGTGGAGGCTGACTCCATACACAGTTTCAAGTGTAGATATGATAGAGCCCAATATGCTCAGGAATCTGTACACCTGTTGATTGACGGTTGAGAGGCGGGACCAAAGAGCCAGAGCTCAACCCCCGCAAACACAACTAGGGGAGTACACACCAGGATGCAGCCCGTGACAGCTGACTAACTCCCAGGTACCTATTTACTGGTAGGTAACATGGGCATAGGGTGAAAAAAAAACTCTGCCCAATGTTTCTCGCCGGCGCCCGGGATCGAACCTAGGACCACAGGATCATAGGCACAGAGTCGTGGGGAGGCAGAGAGTCGTGGCCCTTCCAGCTGGACCAGCTCACAGTCACTTACCTACCACAACAGAGGGTATATATAAGTTCTTGACATATAGGCAGTGACTGACAGTGACTCGCTCGGGGAGGCGTCAATGACAACCAGGCCCACTTGGCCAAAGGTCAAGGCAGTTAGGTAACTACTGAGGGTCAGCCAATTGGTATGGCAATTCAGTTCATGTCAAAGAGGTATGATTAACACTAAATGGAGACGAAGTCTAAAAACAATTGTTTGTTGGATTAACACAAATAAGAGACGCGTAATTATGTGCCCCAACTTGAGGCAATGTCTTTAAGAATATCAGTCTGAGAACTTTATCTATTCTTAAATTAAAGAAACAATTATTCCCAATTATAATAAATATAAATATAAATAAAATACTCCCACCTTCCGAAAGCTCCCGAATCTGGCTAGAAGCAGTGCCTCCCGCAGGACGCTGCGCAGTGCCTCCCGCAGGACGCTGCGCAGTGCCTCCCGCAGGACGCTGCACAGTGCCTCCCGCAGGACGCTGCGCAGTGCCTCCCGCAGGACGCTGCGCAGTGCCTCCCGCAGGACGCTGCACAGTGCCTCCCGCAGGACGCTGCACAGTGCCTCCCGCAGGACGCTGCACAGTGCCTCCCGCAGGACGCTGCGCAGTGCCTCCCGCAGGACGCTGCGCACTGCCTCCCGCAGGACGCTGCACAGTGCCTCCCGCAGGACGCTGCGCAGTGCCTCCCGCAGGACGCTGCGCAGTGCCTCCCGCAGGACGCTGCGCAGTGCCTCCCGCAGGACGCTGCGCAGTGCCTCCCGCAGGACGCTGCGCAGTGCCTCCCGCAGGACGCTGCGCAGTGCCTCCCGCAGGACGCTGCGCAGTGCCTCCCGCAGGACGCTGCACAGTGCCTCCCGCAGGACGCTGCACAGTGCCTCCCGCAGGACGCTGCGCAGTGCCTCCCGCAGGACGCTGCGCAGTGCCTCCCGCAGGACGCTGCGCAGTGCCTCCCGCAGGACGCTGCGCAGTGCCTCCCGCAGGACGCTGCGCAGTGCCTCCCGCAGGACGCTGCGCAGTGCCTCCCGCAGGACGCTGCGCAGTGCCTCCCGCAGGACGCTGCGCAGTGCCTCCCGCAGGACGCTGCACAGTGCCTCCCGCAGGACGCTGCACAGTGCCTCCCGCAGGACGCTGTGCAGTGCCTCCCGCAGGACGCTGCACAGTGCCTCCCGCAGGACGCTGCGCAGTGCCTCCCGCAGGACGCTGCACAGTGCCTCCCGCAGGACGCTGCGCAGTGCCTCCCGCAGGACGCTGCGCAGTGCCTCCCACAGGACGCTGCGCAGTGCCTCCCGCAGGACGCTGCGCAGTGCCTCCCGCAGGACGCTGCGCAGTGCCTCCCGCAGGACGCTGCGCAGTGCCTCCCGCAGGACGCTGCGCAGTGCCTCCCGCAGGACGCTGCGCAGTGCCTCCCGCAGGACGCTGCGCAGTGCCTCCCGCAGGACGCTGCGCAGTGCCTCCCGCAGGACGCTGCGCAGTGCCTCCCGCAGGACGCTGCGCAGTGCCTCCCGCAGGACGCTGCGCAGTGCCTCCCGCAGGACGCTGCGCAGTGCCTCCCGCAGGACGCTGCGCAGTGCCTCCCGCAGGACGCTGCGCAGTGCCTCCCGCAGGACGCTGCGCAGTGCCTCCCGCAGGACGCTGCGCAGTGCCTCCCGCTGGTCGCTGCACAGTGCCTCCCGCTCGACGCTGCGCAGTGCCTCCCGCAGGACGCTGCGCAGTGCCTCCCGCAGGACGCTGCACAGTGCCTCCCGCAGGACGCTGCGCAGTGCCTCCCGCAGGACGCTGCGCAGTGCTTCCCGCAGGACGCTGCGCAGTGCTACAAATTCTTCACGACCTAACCTAACCTTCTAATCATTACCTGGCCAGCTAATATTATGTACCTGTGAGCTTGTGTGAGGCGGGACGACACACCCACAACGGGTTGGTGTACATTATTATTAATGACTATTGCCATTGTCAGGTGTGCAATATACATGTTGTTGCATTTGTTATGATGCAACATTCCGGCAGGTATAGTGAGCAGGGGACGGTGCAACGTGTTGATGTGTCCTGCCTCCATTCACACACCTGCCTCCCTACACACCTGCCTCTACTGTGTATGTCCTCCCTCCCTACACACACCTGCCTCTACTGTGTGTCCTGCCTCCCCACATACCTGTCTCCTTACACACACCTGCCTCCCTACCCCTACACACAAGATAGAATGAAGGCAGCAGACGCGAGAAAGGAGCGCAGGGAGAGAGAAAGGAATCAGAGAACCACAACCCCAAACTCTACAATCCCAGAGGGGAGTGGGGAACCCTCCTCAAACAGTGCAACAGCCACAGGGAGTGGGGCACCACCCCCACATTCTACCCAACAGACACCCAACCTGCCCCTTCCCCTGTCAGCCCCCCACTAAGTACCCACCTAGGGCACCCTCCCCCCTCCTCCCACTCACCCCTCTCCCCAGGACATCCCTTCTCCCCCCTCCCCCAAGCCCTCCCCTCTCCCACATGCCTTCCTGTCTCTCATACCCCAAGCCCTCCGTTCTCCCCCACCCCCTAAGCCCCCCCGCTGTCCCCCACCCCACCTAAGTCTTCCCCTCTCCACCACTCCCCTTAACCCTCCCCTCTTCAACACCCACCTCGCTCCTCCTTTTCCTCCCACGCCCCTCAAGCTCTCCTCCCTCTTCTCCCCCCCCCATCTCCCCTATCCCCCAAATCCTCTCCTCCCCCCATGCTCCCCCAACCCTCCCCCTCGCCCCCCCAACCCTCCCCCTCTAACTCTCCCCCCCTCTCCCCCCACCCCCCCAAGTCCTTCCTCCTCCACCAGTCTCCCCGTGCCAGATCCCCCCAGCTCCCATTCACCCCAGATCCCACAGGTCCCCCCCAGAGGAGAAGCAGAAGAGAGTCAGTTTCAGAGTGATGTACTCGAACATAGATGGGATCACAAGCAAGACAAGTGAACTAAGGGAAAGAGCACAAGAAGTGAACCCAGATGTAATCGGACTCACTGAAACAAAACTCTCCAGAATCAAAACAAATGCTGTGTTTCCCCCCAGGAGTACACAGTAATAAGGAAAGAGAGGGAAGGTAGGGGAGGAGGCGGAGTGGCCCTACTCATGAGAAAGGAATGGAGTTTTAAGGAGATGGCTATCCCGGGCTGTGAGGGGTTCAGAGACTACATAGCAGGCACCATGACAACGGGAGGACCAAGGATCGTAGTAGCAGTAATATACAACCCTCCGCCAAATGACAGAAGACCCAGTCAAGAGTATGACAACAACAACATGGCAGTTAACACTATAATTGAAAGGGCAGCCTCTGCTGCCTGTAGAAATAGATCCCACCTGCTCATCATGGGCGACTTCAATCACAGAAGGATTGACTGGGAGAACAAGGAACCGCATGGAGGCGAGGATACGTGGAGAGCCAAACTACTGGAGGTGGTGACTAGAAACCTTTTAACCCAGCATGTCAGAGAACCCACAAGGATAAGAGGCAATGACGAACCAGCGAGACTCGACCTAGTCTTCACTCTGAACGACTCCGACATAAGAGAATTCGGTTTTGAGGACCCAGTAGGAATAAGCGACCACAGTGTTCTGGTGTTTGAGTACCTGATTGAAGAAGGGTTATTGAACTCGAGGAGGGATACCGAAACCAAAAGATTAGCATACCGAAAGGGGAACTATGAGGGGATAAGAAAATTCCTAACAGATATAGCATGGGAAACAGAGCTCAGGGGGCAAGACGGCCCAAGATATGATGGACTACATCACGCAGAAGCGCAAGGACGCAGCAAACAAGTTTGTCCCAGTCCAAAAGGAAAACAGAGAAATGAAGATGAGAAACCCATGGTGTAATCAGAGATGTAGGTTAGCTAAGCAGCAAAGTAAAAGGGCAAGGAGAAACTATAGGAATAATAGGACACTGGAGAGCAGAGAATGATACCAGAATGCCAGAAATGAATATGTCAGGATGAGAAGAAAGGCAGAAAGACAATACGAAAATGACATCGCAAGCAAGGCAAAGACTCGGCCTAAATTATTGCATAGCCACATCAGGAGAAAAACAACAGTAAAGGAACAGGATATGAAATTAAGGATAGGGGCGGAAGGATTCACTACAAACGACAAGGAAGTGTGTGAGGAACTGAATAAGAAATTTCAGGAGGTCTTCACCTTAGAGCAAGGAGAAATTCCAGAGATAAGAGAGGGAATAGCTAACCAGGAACCACTGGAAGAGTTTGAGATTACCAGCGGGGAAGTAAGGAAGTGTTTACTAAAGTTGGATGTGACAAAGGCTATAGGCCTAGATGGAATCTCCCCTTGGATACTAAAGGAAGGAGCAAAATAACTGTGCCTACCACTCTCCATAGTGTATAACAAATCACTGGCAACAGGGGAACTGCCAGATATGTGGAAAGCAGCTAACGTAGTCCCGATATACAAGAAAGGGGATAGACAGGAGGCACTGAGCTACAGGCCAGTGTCCCTAACCTGCATACCATGCAAGCTGATGGAGAAGATTGTGCGAAGACAGCTAGTGGAGCATCTGGAGCGAAGGAATTTTGTAAAACAGCACCAACATGGGTTCAGGAATGGCAGGTCCTGCCTCACAGGGTTACTTGAATTCGACGACCAGGCAACAAAAATAAGGCAAGAAAGAGAAGTGTAGGCAGACTGCATATTTTTGGATTTTCAGAAAGCCTTTGATACAGTGCCACACAAGAGGCTAGTGAAAAAGCCGGAGATGCAGGCTGGAGTGAAAGGGAATGTACTCCGTTGGATACAGGAATACCTAAGTAACAGGAGACAACGAGTCTGTGTGAGGGGTGAGGTCTCAGATTGGCGAGACGTTACGAGTGGAGTCCCGCAGGGGTCAGTCCTTGGACCTATACTGTTTCTGGTATATGTAAATGATCTCCCAGAGGGTATAGATTCGTTCCTCTCAATGTTTGCCAATGTAGCAAAAATTATGAGGAGGATTGAAACAGAGGATGATAGTAGGAAGCTACAAGATGACCCAGACAGACTGAGTGAATGGTCCAACAAATGGCTGTTGAAGTTCAACCCGAGTAAATGCAAAGTAATGAAACTAGGCAGTGGAAACAGGAGGCCAGACACAGGATACAGAATAGGAGATGAAGTACTTAATGAAACAGACAGAGAGAAAGATCTTGGAGTTGATATCACACCAAACCTGTCTCCTGAAGCCCACATAAAGAGAATAACGTCTGCGGCATATGCGAGGCTGGCTAACATCAGAACAGCGTTCAGGAACCTGTGTAACGAATCATTCAGAATCTTGTACACCACATATGTAAGACCAATCCTAGAGTATGCGGCCCCAGCATGGAGCCCATACCTTGTCAAGCACAAGACGAAGCTGGAAAAAGTCCAAAGGTATGCCACTAGACTAGTCCCAGAACTAAGAGGCATGAGTTACGAGGAAAGACTGCGGGAAATGCACCTTACGACACTGGAAGACAGAAGAGTAAGGGGAGACATGATCATAACCTACAAAATCCTCAGAGGAATCGACCGGGTAAACAAGGATAAACTATTCAACACTGGTGGGACGCGAACAAGGGGACACAGGTGGAAACTGAGTACCCACATGAGCCACAGAGACGTTAGAAGGAACTTTTTCAGTGTCAGAGTAGTTAACGGATGGAATGCATTAGGCAGTGAGGTGGTGGAGGCTGACTCCATACGCAGTTTCAAATGTAGATATGATAGAGCCCAGTAGGCTCAGAAATCTGTACACCAGTTAATTGACAGTTGAGAGGCGGGATCAAAGAGCCAAAACTCAACCCCCGCAAGCACAAATAGGTGAGTACACACCTGCCTCTACTGTGTGTGTCCTGCCTCCCTACACACACCTGTCTCTACTGTGTGTCCTACCTCCCTATACACACCTGCCTCTACTGTGTGTGTGTCCTGCTTCCCTACACACCTGCTTCTACTGTGTGTGTGTCCTGCCTCCCTACACACCTGCTTCTACTGTGTGTGTGTCCTGCCTCCCTACACACCTGCCTCTATTGTGTGTGTTCGGCCTCTCTACACACCTGCCTCTACTGTGTGTGTGTCCTGCCTACATACACACACCTGCCTGTACTGTGTGTATCCTACCTCCCTACACACACCTGTCTCTACTGTGTGTCCTACCTCCCTACACACACCTGCCTCTACTGTGTGTGTCCTGCCTCCCTACACACCTGCGTCTACTGTGTGTGTGTCCTGCCTCCCTACACACCTGCCTCTATTGAGTGTGTGTACTGCCTCCCTACACACCTGCCTCTATTGTGCGTGTCCTGCTTCCCAACACACACCTGTCTCCCTACACACACCCGCCTCTACTGTGTGTGTCCTGCCTCCCTATACACACCTGCCTCTACTGTGTGTCCTGCCTCCTTACACACACCCGTCTCCCTACACACACCTGCCTCCCTACACACACCCGTCTCCCTACACACACCTGCCTCCCTACACACACCCGTCTCCCTACACACACCTGCCTCCCTACACACACCCGTCTCCCTACACACACCTGCCTCCCTACACACACCCGTCTCCCTACACACACCTGCCTCCCTACACACACCCGTCTCCCTACACACACCTGCCTCCCTACACACACCCGTCTCCCTACACACACCTGCCTCCCTACACACACCTGCCTCCCTACACACACCTGCCTCCCTACACACACCTGCCTCCCTACACACGCATGCCTCTACTGGAACAGTAAACCTCTTGCCTCTATTCTTAACAATACTATTAATAAGTAGTAGAATTATATAACGCAAATAGTTACTTTAATTTACAGAAATTAATAAAGTTCTTATGCAGCAACTAACAAGTTAATTCCTGTCTATTTGAATTGACAAGATTTATAAGGAATTCAAGTAGAATTCCTGATAAATCGCCCCCCGCCCCCCTCCCCGCCCCCCCCCCTCCCCCCCGCCCCCCCCTCCCCCCCCCCCCCCCCCCCCAAAGATTTGAGTAGTTTACATGTGAGAAAAGTTTGTTATACAGTTCACTTCCTCAACTAAATCATTCAATAATACATTTCAACGCGTGTAACTTATTCAATAAAATATATAAACAATTAAAACGAAATCCCACCTGTAAATTTCTCACAATCCTGAGGAGTAGTCTCAAGCTGTCAACCAGTCATTGGTCAGCCAAGCTGTCGGTCAACCAGTCATTGATCAGCCAAGCTGTCGGTCAACCAGTCATTGATCAGCCTAGCTGTCGGTCAACCAGTCATTGGTCAGCCAAGCTGTCGGTCAACCAGTCATTGGTCAGCCAAGCTGTCGGTCAACCAGTCATTGATCAGCCTAGCTGTCGGTCAACCAGTCATTGATCAGCCTAGCTGTCGGTCAACCAGTCATTGGTCAGCCAAGCTGTCGGTCAACCAGTCATTGATCAGCCAAGCTGTCGGTCAACCAGTCATTGATCAGCCTAGCTGTCGGTCAACCAGTCATTGATCAGCCAAGCTGTCGGTCAACCAGTCATTGGTCAGCCAAGCTGTCGGTCAACCAGTCATTGGTCAGCCAAGCTGTCGGTCAACCAGTCATTGATCAGCCAAGCTGTCGGTCAACCAGTCATTGATCAGCCAAGCTGAGGGTCAACCAGTCATTGATCAGCCAAACTGTCTTTGATCAGCCAAGCTGTCGGTCAACCAGTCATTGATCAGCCAAGCTGAGGGTCAACCAGTCATTGATCAGCCTAGCTGCCAGTCAACCAGTCATTGATCAGCCTAGCTGAGGGTCAACCAGTCATTGATCAGCCTAGCTGCCAGTCAACCAGTCATTGATCAGCCAAACTGTCTTTGATCAGCCAAGCTGTCGGTCAACCAGTCATTGATCACCCTAGCTGTCGGTCAACCAGTCATTGATCAGCCTAGCTGTCGGTCAACCAGTCACTGATCAGCCTAGCTGTCGGTCAACCAGTCATTGATCAGTCTAGCTGCCAGTCAACCAGTCATTGATCAGCCTAGCTGCCAGTCAACCAGTCATTGATCAGCCTAGCTGCCAGTCAACCAGTCATTGATCAGCCAAACTGTCTTTGATTAGCCAAGCTGTCGGTCAACCAGTCATTGATCAGCCAAGCTGTCGGTCAACCAGTCATTGATCAGCCTAGCTGTCGGTCAACCAGTCATTCATCAGCCAAACTGTCTTTGATCAGCCAAACTGTCGGTCAACCAGTCATTGATCAGCCAAGCTGTCGGTCAACCAGTCATTGATCAGCCAAGCTGAGGGTCAACCAGTCATTGATCAGCCTAGCTGCCAGTCAACCAGTCATTGATCAGCCTAGCTGAGGGTCAACCAGTCATTGATCAGCCTAGCTGCCAGTCAACCAGTCATTGATCAGCCAAACTGTCTTTGATCAGCCAAGCTGTCGGTCAACCAGTCATTGATCAGCCTAGCTGTCGGTCAACCAGTCATTCATCAGCCAAACTGTCTTTGATCAGCCAAACTGTCGGTCAACCAGTCATTCATCAGCCAAGCAATCGGTCAACCAGTCATTGATCAGCCTAGCTGTCGGTCAACCAGTCACTGATCAGCCTAGCTGTCGGTCAACCAGTCATTGATCAGTCTAGCTACCAGTCAACCAGTCATTGATCAGCCTAGCTGCCAGTCAACCAGTCATTGATCAGCCTAGCTGCCAGTCAACCAGTCATTGATCAGCCAAACTGTCTTTGATTAGCCAAGCTGTCGGTCAACCAGTCATTGATCAGCCAAGCTGTCGGTCAACCAGTCATTGATCAGCCTAGCTGTCGGTCAACCAGTCATTCATCAGCCAAACTGTCTTTGATCAGCCAAACTGTCGGTCAACCAGTCATTGATCAGCCAAGCTGTCGGTCAACCAGTCATTGATCAGCCTAGCTGTCAGTCAACCAGTCATTGATCAGCCTAGCTGTCGGTCAACCAGTCATTGATCAGCCAAACGGTCAGTCAACCAGTCATTGATCAGTCTAGCTGCCAGTCAACCAGTCATTGATCAGCCAAACTGTCTTTGATCAGCCAAGCTGTCTGTCAACCAGTTATTGATCAGTCAAATTGTCTTTGATCAGCCAAACTGCCAGTCAACCAGTCATTGATCAGCCAAACTGTCGGTCAACCAGTCATTGGTCAGCCAAGCTGTCGGTCAACCAGTCATTGGTCAGCCAAGCTGTCGGTCAACCAGTCATTGATCAGCCAAGCTGTCGGTCAACCAGTCATTGGTCAGCCAAGCTGTCGGTCAACCAGTCATTGATCAGCCAAGCTGTCGGTCAACCAGTCATTGGTCAGCCAAGCTGTCGGTCAACCAGTCATTGATCAGCCAAGCTGAGGGTCAACCAGTCATTGATCAGCCAAACTGTCTTTGATCAGCCAAGCTGTCGGTCAACCAGTCATTGATCAGCCAAGCTGAGGGTCAACCAGTCATTGATCAGCCTAGCTGCCAGTCAACCAGTCATTGATCAGCCTAGCTGAGGGTCAACCAGTCATTGATCAGCCTAGCTGCCAGTCAACCAGTCATTGATCAGCCAAACTGTCTTTGATCAGCCAAGCTGTCGGTCAACCAGTCATTGATCACCCTAGCTGTCGGTCAACCAGTCATTGATCAGCCTAGCTGTCGGTCAACCAGTCACTGATCAGCCTAGCTGTCGGTCAACCAGTCATTGATCAGTCTAGCTGCCAGTCAACCAGTCATTGATCAGCCTAGCTGCCAGTCAACCAGTCATTGATCAGCCTAGCTGCCAGTCAACCAGTCATTGATCAGCCAAACTGTCTTTGATTAGCCAAGCTGTCGGTCAACCAGTCATTGATCAGCCAAGCTGTCGGTCAACCAGTCATTGATCAGCCTAGCTGTCGGTCAACCAGTCATTCATCAGCCAAACTGTCTTTGATCAGCCAAACTGTCGGTCAACCAGTCATTGATCAGCCAAGCTGTCGGTCAACCAGTCATTGATCAGCCAAGCTGAGGGTCAACCAGTCATTGATCAGCCTAGCTGCCAGTCAACCAGTCATTGATCAGCCTAGCTGAGGGTCAACCAGTCATTGATCAGCCTAGCTGCCAGTCAACCAGTCATTGATCAGCCAAACTGTCTTTGATCAGCCAAGCTGTCGGTCAACCAGTCATTGATCAGCCTAGCTGTCGGTCAACCAGTCATTCATCAGCCAAACTGTCTTTGATCAGCCAAACTGTCGGTCAACCAGTCATTCATCAGCCAAGCAATCGGTCAACCAGTCATTGATCAGCCTAGCTGTCGGTCACCAGTCACTGATCAGCCTAGCTGTCGGTCAACCAGTCATTGATCAGTCTAGCTACCAGTCAACCAGTCATTGATCAGCCTAGCTGCCAGTCAACCAGTCATTGATCAGCCTAGCTGCCAGTCAACCAGTCATTGATCAGCCAAACTGTCTTTGATTAGCCAAGCTGTCGGTCAACCAGTCATTGATCAGCCAAGCTGTCGGTCAACCATCATTGATCAGCCTAGCTGTCGGTCAACCAGTCATTCATCAGCCAAACTGTCTTTGATCAGCCAAACTGTCGGTCAACCAGTCATTGATCAGCCAAGCTGTCGGTCAACCAGTCATTGATCAGCCTAGCTGTCAGTCAACCAGTCATTGATCAGCCTAGCTGTCGGTCAACCAGTCATTGATCAGCCAAACGGTCAGTCAACCAGTCATTGATCAGTCTAGCTGCCAGTCAACCAGTCATTGATCAGCCAAACTGTCTTTGATCAGCCAAGCTGTCTGTCAACCAGTTATTGATCAGTCAAATTGTCTTTGATCAGCCAAACTGCCAGTCAACCAGTCATTGATCAGCCAAACTGCCAGTCAACCAGTCATTGATCAGCCAAACTGCCAGTCAACCAATCATTGATCAGCCAAACTGCCAGTCAACCAGTTTTTGATCAGCCAAACTGCCAGTCCAGCACCAGGCTCGAAGAGGGACAGGGAGGGACAAGGAGAATGACAGGGGGGAGGGGACAGGGGCGGGAGGGGAGTGAGAGAGAGGGGGGGGGAGGGGGACAGGGGCGGGAGGGGAGTGGGGGAGAGGGGGGGGAGGGGGAAATAGGTAACCCAAGCTTTCTCTTGTTTACATCAAAACGTTTTTCTTCAGTCATGTTTGTAGCTTGGTTTACCCCCCCCCCCCGACCCCTGTGACATCCTCCCCTCCCCGCGACCCCTGTGACATCCTCCCCTCCCCGCGACCCCTGTGACATCCTCCCCTCCCCGCGACCCCTGTGACATCCTCCCCTCCCCGCGACCCCTGTGACATCCTTCCCCCCCCGCGACCCCTGTGACATCCTCCCCCCCTCGCGCCCCTGTGACATCCTCCTCCCCCCCTCGCGCCCATGTGACATCCTCCCCCCCCCCCCGCGACCCCTGTGACATCCTCCTCCCCCCTCGCGCCCCTGTGACATTCTCCCCCCCCCGCGACCCATGTGACATCCTCCCCCCCCCTCGCGCCCCTGTGACATTCTCCTCCCCCCCCCCCTCGCGGCCCTAGCTGTGACATCTTTCCCCCCGCGACCCCTGTGACATCCTCCTCCTCCCCGCGATCCCTGTGACATCCTCCCCTCACATGGTCCTACCCCGACCCTGTGACATCCTCCCCTCACATGGTCCCCACCCCCCCCGACCCCTGTGACATCCTCCCTCCCGACCCCTGTGACATCCTCCCCCCCGACCCCTGTGACATCCTCCCCCCCCCCCGACCCCTGTGACATCTTCTCCCCCCCGACCCCTATGACATCTTCTCCCCCCCCCGACCCCTGTGACATCCTCCCCCCCCGACCCCTGTGACATCTTCCCCCCCCGACCCCTGTGACATCCTCCCCCCCGACCCCTGTGACATCCTCCCCCCCCCGACCCCTGTGACATCTTCCCCCCCGACCCCTGTGACATCCTCCCCCCCGACCCCTGTGACATCCTCCCCCCCCCCTCGCGCCCCTGTGACATTCTCCTCCCCCCCCCCGTCGCGGCCCTGTGACATCCTCCCCGCGACCCCTGTGACATCCCCCCCCCCCGACCCCTGTGACATCCTTCCCCCCGACCCCTGTGACATCCTCCCCCCCCGACCCCTGTGACATCCTCCCCCCCCCGACCCCTGTGACATCTTCTCCCCCCCGGACCCCTGTGACATCTTCTCCCCCCCCGACCCCTGTGACATCCTCCCCCCCCGACCCCTGTGACATCCTCCCCCCCCCCGACCCTGTGACATCCTCCCCCCCCGACACCTGTGACATCCTCCCCTCCGACCCCTGTGACATCCTCCCCCCCGACCCCTGTGACATCCTCCCCCCCGACCCCTGTGACATCCTCCCCCCCCGACCCCTGTGACATCCTCCCCCCCCGACCCCTGTGACATCCTCCCCCCCCCGACCCCTGTGACATCCTCCCCCCCGACCCCTGTGACATCCTCCCCCCCGACCCCTGTGACATCCTCCCCCCCCCGACCCCTGTGACATCCTCCTCCCCCCCGACCCCTGTGACATCCTCCCCCCCCCCCGACCCCTGTGACATCCTCCCCCCCGACCCCTGTGACATCCTCCCCCCCGACCCCTGTGACATCCTCCCCCCCGACCCCTGTGACATCCTCCCCCCCCCCGACCCCTGTGACATCCTCCCCCCCGACCCCTGTGACATCCTCCCCCCGACCCCTGTGACATCCTCCTCCCCCCCGACCCCTGTGACATCCTCCCCCCCCCGACCCCTGTGACATCCTTCCCCCCCCCGACCCCTGTGACATCCTCCCCCCCCGACCCCTGTGACATCCTCCCCCCCGACCCCTGTGACATCCTCCTCCCCCCCGACCCCTGTGACATCCTCCCCCCCCCCGACCCCTGTGACATCCTCCCCCCCCCGACCCCTGTGACATCCTCCCCCCCGACCCCTGTGACATCCTCCCCCCCCCGACGCCTGTGACATCCTCCTCCCCCCCGACCCCTGTGACATCCTCCCCCCCCCCGACCCCTGTGACATCCTCCCCCCCCCGACCCCTGTGACATCCTCCCCCCCGACCCCTGTGACATCCTCCCCCCCGACCCCTGTGACATCCTCTCCCCCGACCCCTGTGACATCCTCCCCCCCCCCGACCCCTGTGACATCCTCCCCCCCCCCGACCCCTGTGACATCCTCCCCCCCGACCCCTGTGACATCCTCCCCCCCGACCCCTGTGACATCCTCCTCCCCCCCGACCCCTGTGACATCCTCCCCCCCCCCCGACCCCTGTGACATCCTCCCCCCCCCCGACCCCTGTGACATCCTCCTCCCCCCCGACCCCTGTGACATCCTCCTCCCCCCCGACCCCTGTGACATCCTCCCCCCCCCGACCCCTGTGACATCCTCCCCCCCGACCCCTGTGACATCCTCCCCCCCGACCCCTGTGACATCCTCCCCCCCCGACCCCTGTGACATCCTCCTCCACCCCCCCGACCCCTGTGACATCCTCCCCCCCCCCGACCCCTGTGACATCCTCCCCCCCCCGACCCCTGTGACATCCTCCTCCCCCCCGACCCCTGTGACATCCTCCTCCCCCCCGACCCCTGTGACATCCTCCCCCCCCCCTGACCCCTGTGACATCCTCCTCCCCCCCGACCCCTGTGACATCCTCCTCCCCCCCGACCCCTGTGACATCCTCCCCCCCCTGACCCCTGTGACATCCTCCCACCCCTCCCCCCCCCCACTTCCCGTCACGTCTCATCTTGGGCCACCAGCTGTGGGAGTGGGGCGTCTCATCTTGGGCCAACAGCTGTGGGAGTGGGGCGTCTCATCTTGGGCAGCCAGCTGTGGGAGTGGGGCGTCTCATCTTGGGCCACCAGCTGTGGAAGCGGGGCCCGTCTCATCTGGGCCACCAGCTGTGGGAGTGGGGCGTCTCATCTTGGGCCACCAGCTGTGGGAGTGGGGCGTCGCATCTTGGGCCACCAGCTGTGGGAGGGGGGCGTCTCATCTTGGGCCAACAGCTGTGGGAGCGGGGCGTCTCATCTTGGGCCACCAGCTGTGGGGAGTGGGGGCGTCTCATGTTGGGCCAACAGCTGTGGGAGCGGGGGCGTCTCATCTTGGGCCACCAGCTGTGGGAGTGGGGGGTCCCATCTTGGGCCACCAGCTGTGGGAGCGGGGCGTCGCATCTTGGGCCACCAGCTGTGGAGCGCGGGGCAAGTCTCATCTTGGGCCACCAGCTGTGGGAGTGGGGCGGGGTCTCATCATGGGACC